TCTTAAATTTCTAAAATATATTCTTAGGGTTGAGAAAACAACTCCAAACTGTATGGTTTATGGGGAACTTGGCAGATTTCCTCTATATATACATGTATCTTGAAATTTTGGTATAAATTAGCAACAAGTAGCTCTGACAGTTTAAAAATGAGCGAAAAAATGTACAAATTATGTAAAAATATGTATGACAGAAATGTATTTTCCTCAAATTGGTTTACCTATCTGAAAAACACATCAAACAATCTTGGCATGTCAGATGTTTGGATAAATCCAAAGTCAGTTAGTTAAAAATGCAATTTGACTTTTTACAAAAATGGAATAGTGACATGAAAGTACTAAAAGTTACAACTATAAAATATTTAAAACAGAATTTTCATTTGAACAGTTTTCTGTATGAGAGATAAATATAGAAAAGTTTTAATTATGTACCGATTGTGTAATAAAAAACTCCCAGTTGAAAGAGGACATTATCAAAATATTCCAAGGGAAAATAGGTTTTGTGATTTATGCGGTAAAGGAATAGGTGATGAATTTCAAGTCATTTTAGAATGCAAAGCTTTAAGTTATATTAGGAAAAGGTGCCTTCCTAAATTTTATTCCACAAGTCCAAACATACAGAAGTTTGAGAAATTAATGAATTCAAACAAAAATATACTAATAAAACTTTGTAAATTTTCAATCGAGGCTTGGCAAAAAAATGTACATTTATAATGTTATTTTAATGTTTGTTACTGTATTAGTTAAGTTTATCTTTTGTACTCTTATACCCTACAAAGGGTGAATTGGGAAATAAATAAAATAAATAAAGTTTAATTGAATTAGTAAATTCCATAAATTATAAGTGGCAATTCAAAGTATAAAGAGGTATTTCTGACCTTTTCAAGGAGGGTTGGCTCCAGAATGCAATCTTGATATTTTCAAACAATGAATCTTTAAGGATGTCATGCTTTTCACTTCAAATTTTGAATTGCAAAACAGACAAGAGGTGATCAAGACATTAGCTGCAACCTTTTGGTATCAGACATTAATGACATTCTGACATTTTCATTGTTTGAAAAAATTGTGTACCGTCCCTGTGAGCCAATCCTCCTTGAACCTGTTCATATCATTTTGCATATTTCATTGGATCAATTTTCATCTTACCTTTTCAGTAAATTCATTTGTAATTCATTTTAGTAATTACATAAATATATTTATACCATTTAGTCTCGTTTAAAATGGACTGTGAAGCATTTGTCATTTAAATTATGGGAAAATGGTAACTCTCTCCGGGACCCTGTTATGTTATCATAATCTAATTTAATTGTCTAAAATGTTAATGATTCAGTGTGCAACAAAGGCTAGCTGTATCTAAAAATGCAATTTGACTAATTCTCTAGGGGGATAAAATAGGACATTTACCATTTCAGTAGTTTTCTGTGACGTGATTCCAATATCACAGATGGTGTTCTCACTGTTTGTTTTTCTTGGCTGGTTCTTTGTGTTCTGTATTTGATCAATTCTCTCTGGACCTCATGACTAGCATATAGTTCTCGTAGGATAGTCTCTATCTCACATATGTCATCTGAGTCAGCAAACAACAAGAATGTTGGATTGGGGGATAGATGTCCATCACGAATCAAACTGTTGATGAAGTTTCTGTAGGACACCTTATTTTTAATACAGGTTTGATACAGAGACCACCTCGCCTGACTCTTAAGACTCAGCTTCCATTTATCTTTCATTGTATCTAGTTTTGATTTAGCTGTGTGTTGCTGATTATCAGTTGCATGCCTGTTTAGGGACATGAGGTGTTTGTAATCAACATCCTTAACACCTAGTTTGGTGAGAAAGCTGTATATGTGTCTGTATTTAGGAGTGAACTTTTCTATGAATGTCAGTACTGTTTCTCCTTTATTAGAAGTAGCATTGACATCTGCTCCATGCTCTGTTAACCACTGTGTACATTCCAAAGAGCCAGACTGACAAGCCAACATCAATGCAGTCCAACCAGTATTGGCCCTAGCATTGACATCTGCACCATGCTCTGTTAACCACTGTGTACATTCCAGAGAGCCAGAGTTACAAGCATACATCAATACAGTCCAACCATCATTGTCCCCAGCATTGACATCTGCTGCATGCTCTGTTAACCACTGTGTATATTCCAGAGAGCCAGACTCACAAGCACGCATCAATGCAGTTTTACCATAAGTGCTTATGGTATTGACATCTGCACCATGCTCTGTTAACATCTTGATCCATTCCAGAGACTTCATCTCAACAGCAATCATCAGTTCAGTTCTGCCATCTTTGTGTCTGACATTGACATCTGCACCATGCTTTGCTAACCACTGTGTACATTCAAGTGAGCCAGACTTACAAGCCAACATCAATACAGTGTCACCATCATTGTTCTTAGCATTGACATCTGCACCATGCTCTGTTAACCACTTTGTACATTCCAGAGAGCCAGACTTACAAGCCAACATCAATGCAGTCCAACCAACATTGTCCCTAGCATTGATATCTGCACCATGCTCTGTTAACCACTGTATACATTCCAGAGAGCCAGACTCACAAGCCAACATCAATGCAGTCCAACCAACATTGTCCCTAGCATTGATATCTGCACCATGCTCTGTTAACCACTGTATACATTCCAGAGAGCCAGAGTCACAAGCCAACATCAATGCTGTCCAATCATGACTGTCCCTAGCATTGACATCTGCACCATGCTCTGTTAACAACTGTGTACATTCCAGAGAGCCAGAGTCACAAGCCAACATCAATGCTGTCCAATCATGACTGTCCCTAGCATTGACATCTGCACCATGCTCTGTTAACATCTTGATCCATTCCAGAGACTTCATCTCAACAGCAATCATCAGTTCAGTTCTGCCATCTTTGTGTCTGACATTGACATCAGCACCATGCTCTGCTAACCACTGTGTACATTCCAGAGAGCCAAACCAACAAGCCCACATCAATGCAGTCTCACCATCATTTCTCCTAGCATAGACATCTGCACCATGCTCTGTTAACCACTGTGTACATTCCAGAGAGCCAGACTTACAAGCCAACATCAATGGAGTCCAACCATCATTGTCCCCAGCATTGACATCTGCACCATGCTCTGTTAACCACTGTGTACATTCCAGAGAGCCCGACTCACAAGCCCGCATCAATGCAGTCAAACCAGAATCGCTCCTAGCATTGACATCTGCACCATGCTCTGTTAACCACTGTGTACATTCCAGAGAGCCAGAGTTACAAGCCCGCATCAATGCAGTCTTCCAACCAGAATCGCTCCTAGCATTGACATCAGCACCATGCTCTGTTAACCACTTTGTACATTCCAAAGAGCCAGACTCACAAGCCAACATCAATGCACTCCAATCATAATTGTCCCCAGCATTGACATCTGCGCCATCCTCTGTTAACCACTGTGTACATTCCAGAGAGCCAGAGTCACAAGCATATATCAATGCAGTCCAACCAGAATCGCTCCTAGCATTGACATCTGCACCATGCTCTGTTAACCACTTTGTACATTCCAGAGAGCCCGACTCACAAGCCCACATCAATGCAGTCCAACCAGAATCGCTCCTAGCATTGACATCTGCACCTTGCTCTGTTAACCACTGTGTACATTCCAGAGAACCAGTGTTACAAGCCCAAATTAATGCAGTTCTATCTCTTTTGTCCCCAGCATTGACATCTGCACCATGCTCTGTTAACCACTGTGTACATTCCAGAAAGCCAGACTTACAAGCCCACATCAATGCAGTCCAACCAGAATCGCTCCTAGCATTGACATCTGCACCATGCTCTGTTAACCACTTTGTACATTCCAAAGAGCCAGACTCACAAGCCAACATCAATGCAGTCACGCCATCATTGTTCCCAGCATTGACATCTGCATCATGCTCTGTTAACCACTGTGTACATTCCAGAGAGCCAGAGTTACAAGCCCGCATCAATGCAGTCCAACCATCATTGTCCCCAGCATTGACATCTGCACCATGCTCTGTTAACCACTGTGTGCATTCCAGAGAGCCAGTGTTACAAGCCAACATTAATGCAGTCAAACCATCATTGTTCTTAGCATTGACATCTGCACCATGCTCTGTTAACCACTGTGTACATTCCAGAGAGCCAGTGTTACAAGCCCACATCAATGCAGTTACTCTTTTGGTCCCAGCATTGACATCTGCACCATGCTCTGTTAACCACTGTGTACATTCCAGAAAGCCAGATCTACAAGCCAACATCAATGCAGTCTCACCATCATTGTTCCTAGCATTGACATCTGCACCATGCTCTGTTAACCACTTTGTACATTCCAGAAAGCCAGATCTACAAGCCAACATCAATGCAGTGTTACCAGCATTGTCCTTAGCATTGACATCTGCACCATGCTCTGTTAACCACTGTGTACATTCCAAAGAGCCAGACTTACAAGCCAACATCAATGCAGTCACGTCATCATTGATCCCAGCATTGACATCTGCATCATGCTCTGTTAACCACTGTGTGCATTCCAGAGAGCCAGTGTTACAAGCCAACATTAATGCAGTCAAACCATCATTGTTCTTAGCATTGACATCTGCACCATGCTCTGTTAACCACTGTGTACATTCCAGAGAGCCAGTGTTACAAGCCCACATCAATGCAGTTACTCTTTTGGTCCCAGCATTGACATCTGCACCATGCTCTGTTAACCACTGTGTACATTCCAGAAAGCCAGATCTACAAGCCAACATCAATGCAGTGTTACCAGCATTGTCCTTAGCATTGATATCTGCACCATGCTCTGTTAACCACTGTGTACATTCCAGAAAGCCAGATCTACAAGCCAACATCAATGCAGTCCTACCATCATTGTTCCTAGCATTGACATCTGCACCATGCTCTGTTAACCACTTTGTACATTCCAGAAAGCCAGATCTACAAGCCAACATCAATGCAGTGTTACCAGCATTGTCCTTAGCATTGACATCTGCACCATGCTCTGTTAACCACTGTATACATTCCAGAGAGCCAGACTTACAAGCCAACATCAATGCAGTCTCACCATCATTGTTCCTAGCATTGACATCTGCATCATGCTCTGTTAACCACTGTGTACATTCCAGAGAGCCAGACTTACAAGCCAGCATCAATGCTGTCACACCAAAATAGTCCCTAGCATCGACATCTGCACCATGCTCTGTTAACCACTTTGTACATTCCAGAGAGCCAGACTCACAAGCCAACATCAATGCAGTCACGCCATCATTGTTCCCAGCATTGACATCTGCACCATGCTCTGTTAACCACTGTGTACATTCCAGAGAGCCAGATCTACAAGCCAACATCAATGCAGTGTTACCAGCATTGTCCTTAGCATTGACATCTGCACCATGCTCTGTTAACCACTGTGTACATTCCAGAGAGCCAGACTTACAAGCCAACATCAATGCAGTCTCACCATCATTGTTCCTAGCATTGACATCTGCACCTTTTTCTTGTAATAAGTCCAATGTATTTGTACTAGGTTTCACATTTCTCTCAAATGCCCACAGAATTGTCTCTCTATTGCACTTGGTTGTATTCTGGAGGATCAACTTCAGCTGATGTTCATCTTTCCTATCAAGTGCATCTTTAATGTCATGATCTACTTCTGTATACACAGGCATTTTGTTTCTTTGTACATGCAATTTCAATATACTTTTCAATATACTAACTGTGTCCTGCTTACCAAACTGTTAAACGTGTTTTGAATCAATATTTGAAATATAATAAGACTGAAGTATATTCACTGTTTGGGGGGCTTTTGTATCCTATACTTTTCTACAGGATGTGTTATTGACACATCCATTCATAATATTTTTTTATATACTGCGTTTAACATTTGATCGTTGATTTAGTTTAAATAGAGCCAACAAAGAGTTCTAAAAAGCAAGCTCAATTTCCTTAAGAACCCCTATTCTTACTATTGAAAATAGTCTGTTGAGATTTGATTAACTTGAGTTCTGAGAAATGAGGATTTCAGCAAGTTTGTATTGACTTAACACGGGGATACAATTGCCTTTAGTCCTGCATATCTACATTTCACTTGTTGAGACACGATCAACCTAATTCCAAAACGTAGAAAACATACACTTTTCAATCCTTCTGTTTAGGGATAGTATATAGGGAAACCTTTACAGGGTGAACCCCTATAGTTGGGAAATATTACTATATTTAATCAAGATCTGAATAAAGGATGTATAGGTGTAGCCAGGGGGTGTGATGGGTTCGATCGCACCCCCCCCCCCCATAACCAATGAAAATATAACCATGAGATAGAGGAAGAAAAGAGTATATTTCTTTGTTCTTTGTTTACTATCATGCTTACTTTATAAGTGCTTGCAAGACTTTGTATTTTGGTCACAACTTTGTATTTTTCTTTTCTGTTTTTTAATCTTTATGACAATCTGTTTTTTGCGTTTAAAATAAATTGATTACAAAAAAATACATATTTCCTCAGGAGTATCAAAGTTCATCGAACATGGAGAATATTATGGTGGTTACTCATACTAGACTGTTTTAAATGGTTTTCTTCCAGCTTTTTATAATGTACTTCCATTTAGAAATGTTCTAATTGTTGGTGCCATTCAATGTAAAGATTAGGTCAAATGGTAAATCATTTTTGTTTTCCTTATAGGGTGCCATAGCAGGGCCCTTTGTGGAATCACCCAGAATAATGGAGTTATACATTTCAATTTTATGATGAGATCAAATGTTAGAATGTTTTTGTTTTCCTTATAGGGTGCCATAGCAGGGGGGCTTTGCGGATTCACCCAGAATAATGGAGTTCTACCTGTCAACAAAAACCTCTGGTAAGATATCTTGCTCAATAAAATATTTTCTAATTAAATGTATTGTATAGAACTCTACACAGATGAGAGTCTGTGTATAGTTAAAAGTACTTGATTCACCATCATCTATAATATCCTAACCAGAATCATATTCAAGTTTTTTAGATTTGTATCAATAATAGATAACAAAATTGTGACCAAGAAAAAGTGTTCACATTGAGAGATGTTCAGATTGGAGAGGTGTTCAGATATACAGGTTTCACTGTACACTGTACATGTTTTTCTAATTTTTGCAGGTCTCTGTCCTTTGTCCTTGCATTGGCGAGTATGGCATTTTTCCTTTTCACCTGCATGTATATGCTCTGTGATGTCCTACAATGGTGGAGTGGAGCTCCTGTATTTTACCCTGGTAAGAAAATACAACCCCACATGTGTATGTTGATTTGATAAAGGAGGACGGAAAGTAACAACAGATTTCGCACAGTCCCTCAGGGGTTTTAAAGATATCCATTATGGGTGACCAAAATTAAACTGAAAGCAATGGATCGCAGAGTCTACCCTATGGGAAAATAACATGGGAAATATTGTTTCCAATTTATCTAAAAGGAATTAATTATTCCTTTAAAGGGGTTAACTGTGTGTCAAAAGGCAACATAATTATGCAACAAAAATTTAAAAAGCAGGGGTGGAAGGGGTTGAAAATCAGGACAACATTTCAGAAAAAACATGTGGGTGGGTTGTTTGGATCTTCCCTGTCTCAATCAAAGTTATTTTATAATTTTTATGAGTGCTTTTCCTGGAGGTAATACATTGGTCTAACATAAACACCTGTTTAAATCCTCAGAAAATAGCCAAATCCAACATACATGTATGACTGTCCAAAATCTGTTGCGATACTTTCTGTCCTGATGTTTAGTTTGGAGAACCAAATTCATCTGCATATTTCGAAGTTATCAATGTCGCCAAAGGTTTTCATTTTTTTTACATATCGTAGTTTTAAATGTCCTCTTTTGTATACTTTAGTTTTAATATTGGTAATATTTTCAAAACTATGAGTCGTTTTCATAAAAAACTATAAGTCGTTTTCATGATTCGTACCAACTTTTGAACAACGTGTATCGCATAATTCTGTAGGATTGAAAATATTGAAAAACAATAAATTGTCTAACAGGATTATGTTGTACGAATAGTGAAAACAATGTAGTGGGGTTCGCAGGCCTGTCAACTTGGGAGCACCTAACATAAGTGACTTGGAAATGTTGAACACCCTCCCCTCAAAATGTGGACACCTAGGTCCAAATCTGAACACCTTGATCCAAATTTTGAACACCTTGGTTTAAATTTTATTACATCTTGCCAAATTTTGAACACCTCAAATTTTTCGCGATCTCTAAAAATTTCGAATGGAATGCGTGACATATACGTAATTCGCGTGAAAAGTCGGAACGAAATGCGTACGTTTTTTTTTGGCGTTCGTATTTTTGCTGTGTTGAGGAACTTTTTTAGAAATTTTTCTCCAGAAATATTTTTGCTTGACAATTACCAGGTTAAATGCGTATTTGGGTGACATTTTCTGTCACGCAAAAATAACTGGCGTGACTTCAAATTCTTCAGCAAATGCGTGACAAATACACAAATTGCGGGACAGTTGACAGGCCTGGGTTCGCTCCTTTTTAATATTTATGAAAAAATTAAAAATATTACCAACATCAAAACTAAAGTATACATAAGAGGACATATACAGGGTGTCCGGAAAGTAAAGATACAAATGCTCTAATTTCAATAGATAAATCTGTTGTGAGATGAAATTGCTACAGAATGTAGAATGACATTATAATAATTTATCCTGCAAATGTCATGACAAATTGTCTCAAAATAAAAAAGTTACGGTTGTTATGGTAACAGGAGTTGCGGGTATGTGGAGCAGCATCACAATTATGTTTTATAATTCTTTTCTCCTGTTCATATCATCTTGACATCTGTTGCTATTATACATCAGAGGATCCAGCAAAGGATTAGTACTGTAACATTATTTATTCATTTGACACTACTACTGTTATCCAGTATTATGTATTTCCAATGTGCATTTTGACCGGAGATTCAAAGACTTGACAAAACCACTGCTTAATCTCTATGATTTCTGATAACATTGGCATCCAGCCGAGTCTCATTTTTATGTTGAACTTCTAACAAATATTGCCTTAAACTATTCATTAATGTAGAAGTCCAACAGGCCATTATCAGGGAAATATGGGCCATTGTGCAAAAAGGTTTAATGTCAAGACAACCTTGTAAGATTTGTTTTCTTTTGCTTTGTGAATTGGTGCATTGACTGAGGAGGTGGACTGTTGACTTTCCTATTAATCCAGGGACCCCTTTTTTAAGCACTCTTATACTTTTTCTATGATTAAACTGGTGACATTACATAGTTATGATATGTATCACTGATATCATTATACTAAAGAGAATACTATGGCAGCAAGAATACAATATCGAACAAAACAAAATATTGATAAAAATACAATAATAAACACTGTTTCAAATCGTTAAATTTTTGCAATTCATCACAATTTAGGGATATCCTGGAACTGCTCCGCATACCCCTCAACACCGTAACTATGACAACCATAACTTTAACACATTTAGACTATATGTTATAAAAGTTGGTAGATGTATTGTAATATAGTTCCTCTACAATCTGTAGCAATTTCAATACAAGAAAACAAAATCTATTAAAATAAGAGTATTTGTATCTTTACTTTCCGGACACCCTGTACATCTACAATACGTAAAAATATGAAAATCTTTTGCGACATTGATAATGTCGTAATATGCAGATGAATTTGGTTCTCCAAACTGGTTTGCCAAAAATGACAAATTTTTATGGAATTTTTTTGGACAATATGCATTTGTTCAGATTTATGTTTGTCAAATGTAACTTATCATGTTTATGCAATATTTAAATAAAACACAAAGCCTCTCAAAAACTGATTTTCTGGCCATCCTGCATGGCTGCTATATTTGAATTTCACCCTTGGAGGCTGCAGGTTTTTCATATGATAGCCCTTGCCTAATATCCCATTCCCTTCACAGATATGAATCCAAAGTATTTTAGATTGTTTGTTTCACCCTTTAAGGGCACAGGTCCTTTTACCTAATATTTCATTCCCCTTTCCAGGTATGAATTCAATCCTCGTCTACATATGTCATGAAGTGTTCCAATCATTCTTTCCTGTTAGTTGGAAGGTTCCAAATACTCACGCCTCACAGCTCGCGATGAATATGTGGGGTGCTGCATTCTGGGTAATCGTTTCCGCTTATCTTTACTACAAGAAAATATTCATCGTCATCTAGGGGGACGCCATCAGTCAGAACAAGAAAATAAAGAAACAATGATCAGAGAGGATTCTGATAGAGGATAATGTGAAGGAGGAATATAATGACAGAGGAGTTCTGCAATTGAGGGCTTGAAATAAATGAGAAAGGATGGAGGAGGATTATCATAACAACATGATATATATGAATAGGCAGTGTTTTTGTAATCAGCAAATGATTCATACAATAATATAGGCTTATATGATAATATAGCACTATGATATCTATTATCTACCTCTGGGATCGCTAACTACAATTTTTACTTAATTTTATTATATCATTAGGGGAAATTATTTCCTGTAATTCGCAACCTAAGGAACCTTAAAATGTTTTGATTTTGAATTTATTATGATTTGTAATAAACACATCAAAAGATAAAAAGAAAATCCTCACTTAAGTGCAGTTTGACAAGTTCCAGAATGTGGAATATTATGGAATTTTTTTCATGAGTTTCAGGTATTGGCACTTTAAATGCCTTTAGATTGATGTAAGAAGGCCTGTCATTAAAGCTGATATTGTCACCACTTGGTCTTAGGTGAATTTGATAGTGGCCTCAACAATAAGGAAAATCTTATTGACAAACTACAATGTCAGACAGGTCCATTCAAGATTGGAGTTTGATGACAGGCCTTTTTAATTAGATTCAAATTATGGGACCATTTTTAAAGGTTCTTGTTTATGTGCACTGTTGGTCATCACAAGATATAGGCTTGATAACTGTTTTGGATAATTTTTTAAGATTTTACCCAAATGAGGGAATTTAATTAAAACTTGTGGTTTTGTAATCAGTTAAAAATTTGATGATCTCATAGTTTAAATCAATAATTCGCGGTGCAATACATTAACAGGTTGGGGCAATAAAGAATTTTTATGGCCCACCCTGTTTTCTGCATGTAACTTCCATTGATTAAAACATACATAATTTTGATGTGTATATTAATGTACATTAATACGTAATTAAAGGTTTATGATAAATGTTTGATTGTCTCATTGTACCAGTTAGATCAGTGAATCATATATGTACTAAAATATGCATGATTTTACTTGAAATTCTTGTAACCCTGCAAACCCCCACCTTAAGTTAAGGTGGATAGGGGTTGATGGTGTCCAGAGACTTGATGCAAGACTATGATATTAGTTTAACTAAAACATTTGATAAGGGAGTTTCTGTATATCTGAATAAAGCTGTTATTATAGATGTCACCACTGTTTTATTTTAAACTCCTCTATTCACTATGCTCATCATGTGAAACAATTGTACAAGTAGATCATTATGAATTGGGAGTGATATGGTACAGGAGGATAGTGGCATTTTTTTATTTTCTTGGTTTGGCTGATACAAACATTACAAAAGAGACTTTTACAAAAGAGACTTCATAACATATTGTGAGGCAAACAAAGTTAGAAAGCATTGATTGAATGGAAACGAGTTTAATAATCTTATAACAGTAGCTTTGTTTATTATTAATGATATGATATATATGATGTTTATTACATGAGATACATATTTCATTTCTTATGCATCTATTTTATTTATCATACTTTTACTGTTAGCACTGGCGGATCTGGGGGGGGGGGGCTGGGGGCTCGCCCACTTTTGGGTTTTAGGGGCCCAAAAATTTTATCTCTGACCTGAAATTTGGCCCCCGTCCCTTGTTGGTTCCCAGATCCGCCCCTGGTTAGTTTCCCTGATGTTTCTTATTTGGATGTATTTTGGGTCTTAGAATATCACACTACCCTACCTCGATAGCGCATGCGCGAATATTTTGGCTTTCAACCACGTCGCTTTTGAGTATTTCGACTGCTTAGTCAAAAGGTTAATACGTTTGGTGCTCGGAGTGAGTCAATATTGCTATACGCTGAACTTCAGTGGTACAATAGTGAAGTCCATGTTCCAAGTTATATGATAGCTGAAGAAAGAATGTAAATAATATCGTTTTAAATTTTAAAATATTTGATATGGCATAGTACACGGTACACAGTTGCAAAAGTTGATCAATACAGGGTACAAGGAATGTAAATTGCTCAATAGTACAGGGAGCGAGAAAGTAAGCTGATTATACAGACATACTATGTCCCGATCTCATGTACATTTACGTTGCAAACAGTGAAAATAATGCTAAAAAGGCCGCCTGTTGATGCTTTGAGGTGTCATCAATTGTTATTTAATCCAAATAAAGTAAACATTATTTTGTAGATTTATATAACCCCTTGAATGGTCTAATTCACTACCGTTCTCAAAAACCGATCATTTAAAATATTTTGTTCAAAATACCATCATGCCAAGACTTGAGAGCATTTTGTTCTTCACGATTTGCTGTAGCGCTGATATGACATCGTATTTCTCTATTATTGTAAAAAAACTAATACCAGATCGATGTAGTCTTAGATGACGTGTTGAATGTCAGATGTTTTTGGATGGTATCTGCTCCAGTGATTTTGCATTTAATCATGAAACGCTCATCACAAGACACCTCGAAACAAACATTATCCTCTATGTGACAAGAGGAAAAATGTTTCACAATATGTTATGCCTTACGGCAAAGTAAAGATACATTTCTGGGACGACGTTTTTTGCATCTTAAGATTTTAGAAAAACAATTAATTCACAAAAATACAGTTGAATAACATACTGGAAAACGTATCCACATATGACACGATGACACGCAGTTTAAACAACAGTTAACTGTTTTTTTTGTTACATATCAATGTAACATTTTCGAAGGGAAACTTACATGCTCCCTGTACGTTGATAGATTTACTGAAATGTATCGTGTATTGCATTGAGTTTTGCTTCACTGTGCCCACTATTTTCTATCTTTGCCTATAGTGGTTTATTGCCAACAATATTCTACAAACTGTTGGATGAATCAATTCTATGTCTGGTAGAATACTAGAAATAAATGTAAAATGTATTTTACGTTCAGAAATATGGAATTAAACCCACGTCCTCCATTTGCAACTTAGCTGTACCCTGTTTCCCTTTTAAACGTGGTCACGTGGTAGGGTAGTGTGAATATAAGAGACTATCGCAAGAAGGAACGTCCATGTACAGTAAAACCGTTGAATGTGGAACACATTTGTTACCTCACTCTTTGGAGGTGTTCCACTTACAGAGGTTCATTTATTTAATATATTACAGTTCTTTCAAAAGGTGTTCAACTGATGAAGGTGTTCCACTTTCAGAGGTGTTCCAATTCACAGGTTTTACTGTTTGTTTTAAACAGATTTTAAATGTCATAAAATATAGTGCCCTGCAGTAACATAAATTAATACTTTTTGAATTAAAAATTGTATTTTATCTTAACATGCATGGACTTGAAGCAGAGACATCTATTTTGGAAATATCACTACTAAACATGTAAATGTATTAATTTGAAGTTTTCAAGGATATGTTATACTCACAAAGTGCAATAAAATAATTTCTGTAATCCTTCTATACAAGTACTTGATGATACAAAATACAACAGATTGAATGTTGTCATGGTGATATTATACTGTAATAAATTACAAATAAAAGAAACAAAAAATAGGCATTTTGTTTTTATTAGTAGCGGCATCGATCGAGGTGCAAAATCGAGGTGCAAAATGTAAATTATATTTTTATGTAAAACAAAAAATATAATTTGCTTTTAATGAATGCTTACTGCCACAGGGTCGCAACTATGACTGTTAATTTGAAATTATTTAAGACTTTTTGACGGAACAAGTTTGAAGAAAAACGGTGCAGTATGAAACTCACAATCCTTGACTTTCAAACACCTGGTAGGTCGGAAATTCAAATTAACAGTCATAGTTGAAACCCCGTGACTACATACACACACTCGCCTCCATAAGTATGGCAACCAAATTTTTTTTGATCACTTGGCAGAGCCTATGTTTATGGTTGGCGATTTTTATGAATTCATCTTAGTCATAAAATTCAAAATGGATGAAATTAATGAACAAAATTAAGATCCAAACATTGGCAGGCTTTGATTATGCTATTCAATGAAAATTTCTGTTTCCAAACTGAATTCACACATACTAGTAGCTAAGCAAGGTGTGTCCGATTCCAGCCAATCCAAACACCCTATTTCCTATAACTGCATTGCATTATATAACTTAACGAACAATTCACCCAAGGTCATCTGTTGAAAGGTTGTTGAGGTGACAACTTGACTGTACAGATTGAAATTGATACTTTGCCAACTTGACCCTTGCAAAGAGTTTCATTGTGTGAAATAGATTTAAGTCACGAGACTCCTTGCAAATAGTGGCCTATTCATTCCACTCAGGCATTGTTTCCTAAACTTAGCACACAATTCTGGGAATCACATGCAAAGATTGAAACAATGCCTAGGAGGAATGATAATCAGTTCACAATGCACTGAGTCCAGGGCTTAAATCCTTAAGTTGATTTTTTCTAAAATAATCAGAAACCATGCCAATGTTCCCCTGACAGTTTTAATTTTTTTATATCAAAAGGGAATTAAATTATCTGAATAACTCAGAAGTTGAAGGTTCAAAAATGACTTGAATTTAAGTCAGTACTTTGGGTCAGTATTATTTTGGGATTGGCATGACAAGTAACATTCCCAGTAAAAAATGTCTGTATTATGACTTCTCAACCCATAGCTAGCCAATGTTGCCCCAACACACAATACATGAACATGGAGCCACTCTTTTAGTTTTCTTGTGTCGGCTATTTAGACTTTAAAGAACAAGATTTTCAGCTCTCAAATACAAGGTTGTGAAGAATTCATGTTTTAAATTCTGAAAACACCTTGTGATGAAAATAACAATAAATCCTGGATCTTTTATTCACATTTGCAATGGAGGACATATTAACTTGATGTCCTGTAATTTCTATATCTCTAATAGTCTTAGCCAAATGATTAGTGAGATTGATATATTGTTTTTGGTGAAACACCTTAACCCTCCAATTCTGGTGAAATCTTGTACCTAGTGTGACATAATATGAAAGATGTTCACTGAGACAGGTTTTATTGTACTGAAATATTTCGAGATGGAGACGTCCAGAAAGCTGGAAGAAATAACATGATCAATTACGTAAAAGTGATAGATGAGGGTTTGGAGGATTTGATTACAGGCCACAGTACCGTTTGGTGAGTGAACGAACTGGGAACACTGCTCAGAAATAACCCGGCGTTCGTATTTGTAGTGAAACATTCAGTATAATCTAAGGGGTCTTAATTTTACAATTATTCCGCGAGCCTTCGTTATTTTAAACAACTTGTTATCGTAATAATATCTGATGATAAAATATACGATAAAACAGATAACAATAACCCAGAGCTTAGGTTATTTTTGATATTATTTAATAGTTTGTAAAATTTATCAAATATTGCACTATTTCTTACAACGCCTGATATAACAAGTGCGTGCGGTAATGCGACCAAGTGACAACAAGAATGCCAAAATGGAGAGAGGTGAAAATATTTCCAGTGACAATATGAAGGATTTATCGAGCCCCTCTGATGCGAATGTTGAGACTGCTAGCCTCCAATCTGGAGGAAGCAATGAAGAAACTATTGAACTCGATCCTGATATGATAGAGGAACGATTTAGGGTCGACAGACGAAAGTTAGAGCAAATGCTTTTACTTGGTGAGTTTTTATTTTTTCTTTCAGTTTCACATGTTGATGTTCAAAAAATTAACAGAAATTGATTCATACATCATCTTTAAAATTAATTTAGTGGAATGTCTGGGAAAACTCCACTTGAAGCTTTAGATTTGTAAGTACTCACACCTATTGAAAGTATTTTCATTGGTAATATTGACTTTTAAGTTTGACTTTACACAGAGCTTATTCAAGGTTATACCGTATGTTATTTCATTTTACGCCGAATGCACAAGTTGAAAAGGAGAGTATAGTTTGTGTACTAGATTTCTTTGACAGCTTGTATAAACTTGCTTTTCATATGTGCTAGAACATTACGGTAGTTTACGATGTATTGATATTTTGCATTACTGTAAACGTAACATTGTAGAACTACCTTTAATACTTTGCAATCTTCGTACACATATTCATGTAATCATATTTTACATGATATAGATCTCTAGTGGTTGTTATGCCTAGAATTGTCATCGGGAGGGGGGGGGATGTCCCTCAGCTCTAAAAACTCACTGAAAATCATTCATTCAGTAAATAATCATACTCTTCAAGCAATTTTCTCTACATGTATTTTTTATGATGAAAGATCTGTATGTAGATGATTATAGACATGTGAATACTATTCTCATCTTTGAAGGATGACTTTTAGACCTGTTTATACATGAAAATCAGACAAACATTCTTGTTGATTATGTATTCTGACTCTTCCTTCATTAATTGTCTATAATATTCTGAATATATTATTTTACAGCCCAGCTAGAATAGATTCCGAAATAAGTACCTCTCAGATGCTAATCTATGCAACCCAGGGAACATCATTCTATAATAAACCCACTAATTTCAGCTACTTGAATTTGTAAGCTACATTAAATCCAAATCTGTAATATCATTTCTATATAAATTGCCAATAATACAATGTTTATATTTCATACTCTAATCTTAATAATATGACATTATCCTTTGTGATGAAAATTCAAATCCAATTTTCCATAATAAACATGAGTTCAAAAGAAATGTGAAAAATTCAAAAGTATGTTAAAGGGGCTATTTTTTGTTGATGTAAAGGAGCTATAGATGTGTATCTTGTTTATCAAATAAGTTCTGATTATCTAATCAATATCTAAGCATAATCATAGGCCAAGGGAAAAGTAGTAGTAAGCTCAATATAAACCTTTGTCTCCCCAGAGTTTTATTTCAAGTATGTGTGAAATTTTCATTTTTATAATCCTGCCCAAAAAGGGTCAAAATCTGCCAAGGCTTCATCGTTTTTTGCAAATGTGTTTTCAGTTTGGTCTTTGGTGTAAGCCTTTTTATAAAATCTCTAGTGGGTATATTGTTTACTTGTTTCAGTGCTTATGAGATCACTGTTATGCAGAATATTCCTCTGGGGAATTCAGTATTTTAAGATTATCCCAAGGAAAATATAATATATCTGTCCCATGAGAATATAGGCCTTTAAAATAAAATAAAGTTCACAGAGAAATGCCCCTGACATAATGAAAATGTATGATCAATCGATTGAATATATTTTTGAAAAGTTAATTTTTGTCACATTGATTTCACATTGATTTCTCTGTTTTCTATATCTATATCTACATATCTATATCTATTATTCTGGAAAGAAGGATAGTCCTGTATGGTCCAGATCTTTTTATTTATTTATTTTTATCGCTTCTTTATTGCATGTTTTGATCTTAATGTATGTGGCATAATAAAAATGAGTCTTGTCCCGATGGATGAGATTTCACATCTAGTGGGAAATAATAACACAGCTATTTTAGTGGAATAAGTAGTAGGTAATTGGTAATCAGGAAAAATATGGATTTTATTTGTTTTCAAAATATGACATTAACCTGTATACCCTGCATCTTCAGTATCTAGTTATACTACCCTCTGACTACACTGTTGGCTTTTACTGATTCCCCCCATGATCAGGGCAGATGTCTGTCTGGCAAAATGATTTTTATTTATTTTAAAATTCTTTATTTTATAGTATTTCATCATTGTTTAAAATCAGGTAGAAGTTCTAATTATCTTTAGTTTTAAGAGTCTAGACAAATGTAAGACTCTTATGAAGGGTAAACATAGAAAAAAACATCAATAAAATAACATTTAATAGGAGAATGTCAATCAATAACCTGCTCTTCAATATAACAATATTCTTTTCTAAAAGGCTCTAAGAGGTGATTATTGGTAAAGTAAACAATAGACTAGTTTTTATCATTTATTTATTTTTATGCACTTGGGTTATATACTGTAACTATTAACATATATCATTTCAGTCAAAGCAATTTTTTGATTTGATGTTCATGAGAATAAGTCACAGGGAATCGTATGGAGGGTCGGGCACAACCCTCCCCAACCTCTAAAGACTTCTCTTTTAATAAGGGAACCCGAAAAGTGAAATGTCTAGAAAAATAAAAAAAATTATTTTAAGCTAAAAATAAGTCGAATCATTAGTATAAGCCACGCACACATTCAACATATAGAATTAGTGAGGGAAAAAAATAATGGAAGCAATCCGTTGACTAGTTGCTCAGAAATGTAGACAGATTCTTCGAAATGATAGAAATCGACGTTTTTACGAATTTTATCCGCGTGAAATGAAATACATTTCAGTCTATTTCTTTCTTATATACACTCACCATTAAAAATTGTTACTTCACGGGGTACTTCCTTTACGTGGCTTCCCTATGGTTACACGTTTATCACGAATTGCATCTCAGAACGACTGCCACTCGTGGATATGTGTCGAAATAAAACTTTTCTGAAATATTTTGAACAAATATTGCCGGCAACTCGATGTGAATAATATCTGCATTTTCATTGGCTCAATCCCACTTGCCTGACATCTATAAATAAATATGAAATATAAATGAACGTAATGTGAAAATTACCTAAAATTGCCTGGACGTGATTTTCACCTATTTCAAGACACACAAATATATATTTTGTATTATATAAAATCAAATTTTCTTTTTTACTAAGCGCCGAATATGTTATTCACGTTTCAAATGTCTACTTTACATTTATCATTAATTGTTATAACGATTGTGAATGGGCCAATGAAAATGCAGATCTTCATTCATATCTGGTTGCCGGCCATTATTTATTTACAATTTTCGACAAAAGTTTCGTTTCGACACAAATCCACGTGTGGCAGTCGTTCTGAGATGTAATTCGTGATAAACGTGTAACCATAGGGAAGCCACGTAAAGGAAGTACCCCGTGAAGTAACAATTTTTAATGGTGAGTGTATATAAGAAAGAAATAGACTGAAATGTATTTCATTTCACGCGGATGAAATTCGTAAAAACGTCGATTTCCATCATTTCGAAGAATCCGTCTACATTTCTGAGCAACTAGTCAACGGATTGCTTCCATTATTTTTTTCCTTTGCTAATTCTATATGTTGAATGTGTATCTAGCTTATAGGAATGATTCGACTTATATTTAGTGTAAAATATTTTTTTTTATTTTTCTACCCAGGTCAGTTTTCGAGAGCCCTTTTTAAAGAGAAGTAGCCTTAGGAGGTTGGGGAGGGTTCTGCCCGACCCTCCATGCAATCCCCTGTGGAATAAGTGAATAATCGTGAGGTTTTACTTTATAGAGTAAAAGATGTGAAACAAATCTATGTTAGATCATGATAATTTGCACTGTGTATCCTGTAAAAAACTATTACCATGGTTACTTGATTTACTTTTTCCTGTCATCCAAATTAAATTTCCACTCATTTGAGACATTTTATATATAATGAAATTTTATGTTTTCCTTATTTTTATATCTTTCATTTTTTTCAGGTTAGGAAATAGTTTTGACCCAAATAATGTAATTTTATAGTTTCCCTTCAAATTAGATTTGAATCAATTTAGAATTGTATTATAAATGTACAGTGCAGACTGCAGATGATACAGGATAGTGCAGAGCCTACATGTAAGCTGACCTACTTTGTAACCATTTACTCCATTGGTATATAATGCAAATTAATAGATTTGAGCTATATTATGTAGCCTGTCAAAGACTGTAAACATACAATAATCAGTACATAAGATAATATAGATGTTCTCATCCTCATACATGTGAAATAGATTTTGAACATTCTAATGTGCTTTAGGGTAAGAATAATTTCAAGCTATGATATATTAAGAAATATATGTTTCAGGTTGTAACAAATTTATTTTATTATATAGTAACCCACCCTGCTTGTTTTCAGTATAGGGAAACATAGGTACATTGTACATCAGAATAATCCAAAGCTGCAAAGGTTGGTCTCCTGAGACCCAGTTTAGATGAATATTATTTATGAATTAAAGGAAGTGATGAAGTTGGGCCAATTTTGATATGAGTAGAAATGTTGAAATGTGAATACTTTCTAATCTGAACACTTTTGTTCACTTTGATTGCCGTTCAACTTAGACAGGTTTTACTGTACATCTAATACAGCTGAGGTTCTAAATAAGTAAATTCATGAATTCATAAATGTCCTTTTATTTTCTTCTTTAACTTTCCATTAAATAAAAACACTTGGTCTCTGTCAAAAATGTGAATATATTGGGATATTGCTTTTTCGAGACACTTTAACGAGTATCATGCTTAAAAAGTACCTTTTACTTATAGAAATATAGTGTTAAGATTTCCCATCACGAAATCGCTTTTCAAAGTTTTTTTAAGTTTGTTTAAATGTACATTGCTTTCACCTGAAGGTCAAGTTAGTTGGAAATATACACAGGGCTGTAGTGATAGAATTATTAAAGACTATTCAATATAATTTATTAGTTATTTAAAGGTTTAGATGACTGGATAGATGACTGGAGTTTCAGTAGCATACAATAACATATCTGTTAATGCAATATTTGTAGTGATCCTGAAAACACAATGGATTTTCCCTCGAATTTACAATTGGCAGGAAAATACATTTTTATTTATTTTTTTTTTTAATTATCTTATCCTAAATGAACAGTTTGATAAAGAAATAAGCTAGAATAGTCTGTGAAAGGCAGAGGGGATAGGCTCCCATGATCCCAAATGATAAATATCACTTGGTGTCACATAGTTTTCTAGGTGAATAAAGAGGGGAGGGGGTTGATCTGAGGCCCCCTTCCATATACCTCACTTCACATTAGCTTGGGATACTGGGAAGGGTTCCAAGTTACTTGATACAAGACATCTCTCCACGATTCATATATCATAAGCCCCCCCCCCCCCCCCTATACCAAGACTATAATTTGGTATTTTCTCCTCTTCATAGTACTGTATATTCTTAAGAAATCAAGTTAAATTCAGAAAATCAAATCATTGATGATCTTTCATTTCGCTTGACATGCTATATGTAGATACTGCCTATAATTGTTAATAATCTTCATAAAAATCTAAACTAGTGAAAGAGATGTCAAAATCGTGTTTATGATTATGGAGCGTTGACGTGATATAGAAACTATTCTAATGCCAAGAATTTTAATTTAATAGTAATATATAAGGTCTTTTCTTAACTGCTCAGTATCATGCAAAACTCATTCAATTTCTCATATAATAAAATATGATGATATCAAATAACTAAAAGTATGTCTACCATAAAAGCCTTGTTCCATTTAAAAAGGTCAACAAAAGTTGTTACTAAATCAAGAAAACTAAAATGTTTGAACCCTGTCAATATCGATTGCTTGTTGTAGATATTTTAAGAGATCCTTCAATAATGTTGGGTTCACTTTACTTAGATGTTCCTCTATTTTTTAAAAATCTTCTTTACATTTTGGTGTTATATGTTTTCTGGATATGGCTTATCAGTTTTTGAATTAGGATGATGTTTATTTACCTATCTATTTATATGTGTTTAAATTATTGCCTTATGCCTTATAAGGGTGATTTTTTGCAGTGCAAAAGTAGATCTATACAAAAACTTGACATTGACCTCTAATATAAAAAATTCAATACACAGGTTTCTTCATGAGAACTTACTTTTGAAGGAAATCATTTCACTCAGTTTGCTCAATATTGTGGCTTTTGACATAGAAATGTGCAATTTTTCATTAAGTAACCTATTCATTGGAATTATGTTTTACACAAATTATTACTTTTTCAGTCCTATTGACCAGAACTCAAGATTTTTTATACGAGAAATCAATTGTTGGTTTTTATTGGTTTATCAAGCTATGCCCTTTCTGACATTCAAATCTCTGGAGTAGGTAAAGTTAAATATTACAAAAACATATTTATAACTAAGTGTTCTATTCAAAAATGTTATATTGAAATTGAAAATATATAGGTACGAATTTGAACCAATATCCTGATTTTAAAAGAGTGTTTATCAATTGTGACTTTTAAAACCTCATTTTTTAAATAAGTACTTTGTAATTAGAAGAATTATATACCTATTAAATTAAGCTGTAATTTTCCACTTCAGATTTAGGATAAGGCCACCATGGTAGTCTGGCCTGTTCCATTTCTATTGCCTCTAGGATTTTTTTCGTATCAATCTAAATTTCTCAATTTTTAAAATTTCTTCTTTTTTCTCACAAAACTTAAAAAATTCCTTGATTACCAGCAATTTGAGACATAATTTATTTTCAAAAATTTACACCTTACCACTAAGGTATTTGTATCTCATTACTTTTAAAAGTTAGTGAAAATTGAATATTTCATGTATCTTTTAATGGCTTGTTATGCACGCTGTCATTTGTCTTGAATTTAGGGCTAATTGAGTTCTTCTTGCTATGTCATTGCCCTTATCCACCTGTTTTTACTGTATAGAGTTTTTTTCAATCCTATACACTCTACATGACAATTTACAACACTTGCCATACATGTGCTGAAAAGCCATACTTTTGTTTACATACCCTTTGTTTTCCTCTTAAATCAGAGATGATTCTTTGATCTGCCTCTATCCATTTGGAGCACAAAATCAGAAAAATCATGACACATTTTGCCTCTTTATTCGTTAATATTCATTTCACTCCAGCCCCCTTACCAGTGGGGGGTTTGATCTGTTCATTTTGGCAAGATATCAATTGAAAAGTGCTCAGAATGGTGAAAAACTGCATGATTTTGAAAACATATTTGGCCAAGGAGGTTGCTCCAACCTCCACTAACCCCCCCCCCCCCCCCCGACTACAGGCATGCACTCCCAAAGAACACCACAGTTAGATCACAGCTTCTTAAAGATCAAACACTCGAATCATCTTTGATAGTCAGAGGGTATAATATAAATATAGCAGATTTTTCTTCAGGGTAATAGAGTGCAGATCTATTTGATAAGTTTTAAAAATCAATCATAGGTTGATACCACCTAAAATGTACACATCTTCAGAATAGTATTGGAGTGATGGACTATTGTCATTTTATCCTTTACAAACAATCATAGATCCTGACGTATTCTTACTATTGACTACCACCCTAAAGTTCGAATTGAAGAGTTATAGTTAAATATAGTTTAACATGCTCTGTATTATATTTAGGATTGGTTCTTTCAGTGCATGTAATTTATTTTGGGTTATTTTGTGTTATTTGAGTTGTGTTGTTTTTGGATTGTTATGTTACCACCTAGAAGTGGTAACGTTTTGATAAGTCTCTGCTTTTTTATTCACTGGCCTTTGGCATTAATGGCATCTGTTACAAATTGTAACAAATTGTCACACTTTTGTTTTTCCAAAATTGCTTGTTTTTTTAAAAAACTTTGTAATACTTTCCATGTTAAAGTTAACATTTTAAAACATTTTGTTCTGTCTTTTTAGTCTCAGAAATATTAATGGAAACATTTAGTAATGTTAGTGGGTAGAATATCTATATTTAGGAATAATACATTCTCAATTCATAAAAGACTACAGTACTTATTTTAACGAGTGCTAAGGCGTCAATTTCATGTAATCAACAGTCAACTAGTGTTTGATCATTCGAAAAATGCCAATCATGAATTTGAAACTATAACAGTCTCAAAAGAAATGGAAGTAACAGTTTGCATTCGGCTTAGTGAAATATTTTAGACATTGTAAGGTTGAAATAATTTGAGTTAAGTCAATAAATGGCCAGGTGAAGGTTGGTCAATAAAGTAATCCCATATAAGAATGTCCGGGTTTTATTACTTCAAATTGAATGCCATTTTGTAATCCTTTAACTGGGACTATATTCGTCTTCACATGCTTGGTCTTCACTGCGTTCAAAAAATGGGAGCCGAGTGAATGAAGATGGACTATATTAGACCTGCTTCAAATCTTTACCTTGGTCGCCCTTAATGTGTTTCCCAATGGTGTTCAGTGTTCCTTATACTAGCATGCATATCCTAGACTGAATTTACAAAAGTACATATATTTTTGTTTGTTTGTTAATGTTTTCATTTCTAATTAATGTCGATATCTAATATATACGCTGGAGCATTATTGGCCGTTTTCAAATAGCCTTATCAAAAACCTGTCTAAATATACAAGATACAATAGGAAAACATAACTTATTGTTTTGTTTCTTTTTTCAGAAGATGGAGAGGGTGAGACTGCTGAGGAATTTTTTCTCAAGGTAAGTGGCTCCTCTTAGAATGGAAAATAGGACTCCACCTTAAGAAAAAAGGAAATAAAAAGAAAACATGGTTGGCTCAGTTGTTTTCCTATGACACAGTTAGGCACTAGGTGCCATCCCCCGTTCAGGCAATACTAGTTATTAGAAAATAGGACTCCATCTTGAGAAAAAGTCACTGTCAGGTTCTGGGTGCCATCCCCCGTTCAGGCAATACTAGTTAGAAAATAGGACTCCATCTTAAGAAAAAAGGAAAATAAAAAGAAAACATGGTTGGCTCAGTTGTTTTCCTATGACACAATCAGGCACCAGGTGCCATCCCCCGTTCAGGCAATACTTGTTAGAAAATAGAACTCCATCTTCAGAAAAAAGTCACTGTCAGGTTCTGGGTGCCATCCCGTTCAGGCAATACTAGTTAGCTTGTTACATTCAGGAGTATAGATTGGATTTTAAGATAGCTGGGGTAAAATTGAATTGATATCACAAATTTGAATTAAACAGAAAAATACTGTCATGAGACTTCAATTAGATAATAAAAAGTATAGATTGGCGATAAGTAGATTTCGAATGAGTTCTCATCGATTGGCGATTGAGACTGGAAGACATGCAAAGCCAAAACCAAAACCTAGAGAGGAAAGATTATGCAATACATGTAAACATATAGAGGATGAATGTCATTTCCTTTTAACTTGTACAAAGAATGATGAGCATAGACAATTATTGTACACTAAGGCTCGTGAAATTCTAAGTAACTTTGACCTCAATAGTGAAAATTTATTTGTCAATCTCATTTCAAGTAAAAACTTAACATTACAAAGACACATTGGAAAATTCATTTATCATTCATTTAAGAATTTGTAGTCAGAATGCAGGGTATGTGCACCACACTTTAAATGTAACCTTGTCCTTTCATCATGATGTATACTACCTTTATTTTGGGTTTTTGTATATCTCGTATATATTTTTGTACTTTTGCCTTAGTTAGTATTTGTAGTTTAGATATTTAGTTTTTCCATAGTTATGACCAATGTAATCATGTTATGATACAAGATGTCAATAAAAGTTATATATAATTCCATAGTTTCAAATGAAAAGAAGTCTGAATAAATATTTTCTGCAAAGTCTTGGTGAGGCTGTTGCTATAGCAATACTATAAGTTATTGAATGATTTGAAGTGCAATACAGGATATATTCTGCTCAAGAATTCCGTATTGGAACGAGACGAATGCGAGTGCCAATACAGAATATTGAGACAGAATTGTCCCCTCCGTATCAATATTTTCTGTATTGCGACGGAGATGATTAACGGGGACAATCACAGTAGCAATACAGGTTGGTACAGCATAAGAACTGACCAATCAGAGGGCTTCATTTTCATCAAAACATACCAGTGAAATACCTACATGTTAAAAGTTGCTTCTTCATGCAATTGGGTGTGATGTCTCCTCGTTACTAGGAAACATAAATAATTCAGTTCCTTTTACGAATTAAAGATTTTTGAGGGATGACAGAGTTGTGGTAAGAAGTTGTTTCTTGCTTCTAGGGATTTGTTTACCCTATAGGTTAAATGTTAACCCTCTCGTGACCAGTGTAACATTTTAACATTGTATTTTCATTTAGATGTTTTCCCAGATCATAGGCTAGCACCATTAATACTCACATAATCTGTAAAGTCTTCAAATGTTTTCAATTTACCATAATGCCCCCTCCCCCCGAATTGTCAACTTTTCATTACTTGAAAATCCTGAATATAGCAGTATATTCTTTAATTCAGTTTAATTCAGTTGTTCCAACAATTGTGGCGACAACACTCAAAATACTGCAGTGAAACCTGTCTTATCTGAACACCCATGGGACCAGCCAAAAGTGTTCAGAATAGCAGATGTTCAGATTTCAGGTCAAGGGGAGAATGGGACCAGGAAAAGGGTTTTAGTATATTGAAAGCACTAAATATACTTTTGACATGTGAAATCCTTGCATGGGGAAAACTTTGTTCCATGTGATGATTTCAGAGAGAGCATTATTAGATCCAATATCTCCTCAAGAGAATAAAAATCAGTTTCTGAACTTTGATGTCAATTTACAGCCTTAAAAGTATCAAACTACAAATCTGTAAGATTACCCAGGAGGGTAAAAAATAAAGATATGCATATTGCCACATATGTGGTTCACCAAAAATTTGAAGAATTATACCACAAGATAGAATAGCCGCTCGAACATCTAAAATAATGTTGTTATAGTCTGTATTGTCTTAAGGGTGAAACATCATTACCATCACAATAATTTAACTGTCTCTAGGGTCATTTTGAATTTTTTGCATCAAGTAAAAAAAGATTTTTGGCTCATTTTAAGTTAGGATTCTAATTCTGGGGGCTATCAGACATCAGACTGTATAGTGAGGAAACTATATACAAGAATATGTAAACATCTTTTCAACATTCTCTAAGTTTTTGTTTTGGTTCAGCAAAAGTAACGACAGGTGTGGATTAGACCCTCTGGGTAGGTACAATACTAGTAGCAGCCAGTCAAATAGTATTAGGTGCAACTTAAGAAGTAGCAAAATATCAAATTAAAGTAAAATTGAAAATATTGACATTACATGCAATTAATTGCATTCTTTCACCCATGTACCCTGAGCGAACCAGGCAAATATTATCAAAGTGCCTCTTAGGGGAAAGATGGTAAGAGACTTAAGTGAGCAAACATGGTAAACTGCCGTTTTTCAAATATTGGTTCAAATTGAGAGTTATGTTTGGGAAGGGATTAATGTTTAGAGTTGGAGGTGAAGTAAGTGCATAATGTGGTCTACATGATACCCTGAATCCATATCAGTTATCAACATCACTCTCTGATTGCAGCAGGCGATTCTGTGGTTCTGATGTCAGTCTTAATGATCACAAATGTTGCTTTTATTGAAGTTTGAGTGAGTCATAATTGTAAGGTACTGACAGGCAGAAATGTTGTATCATTATTCTTAATGAATTCATTTTATGAGGAGAGTATTGATAGATTATTGACCAATGAATTATCTCTAATTTGAAGAGTATATAAAAGTTATGCTTTTGCGAAGGGTAGTCGGGTTGGGATTGATATATCTTGGAAGTAACTGTTAACAATAAACAGATCATCAGAGACAATAGACAATAGTACAATAACGTCATTTCAAAGGGCAATATAGTGAAATATTGGACCGAGGGCTGAAGGCCCACAGAAATGACGTTATTAGTATTATTACCACCGTTAATGACCAGGACTGAAACAGCAAGAAAATCTTACGCACTGAACGATATCTATTTTCCCGGGGAAAATTGCCGGTCGTAATATGTATTCTTGACCGATTTTGACTGCCACTATGATGTCACATCTTGCTCAGGTCGATATAGTAAAATGAATGCCTTCTAAACTAGCACTAAAACCCCTAGAACTGGCCCAGCAAGGTAATAATAATGTTTTGTATTGTAAAATGTTTTTACAGTAGAACCTATACATCCGAACACTTCGCTACTCTGAACGTTCTCAATGAAAATACCCCTTTTCAATTGTATTTCACCACCACCACTTCTTTATGGACCCATCCTCCGATTACAGGGCTTCAAAATCCAGAATATCTTCTTTCTTTTTACCCCCTGCGACAAGCAGTTCGGATTTCCCCGATTAAGAACTCGCAATTTGATTCGCTGTCGCAATGTGCATGTATACGTCATCGGCTAATAATTAGATCACGTGATTCAATTTAATCGGTCTCTTCCAAATTGCTTATAGCAGAGGGGAAGAAGGAGGGAACGGATTCTGGACACCTGCTTAGGAGGATGTTATGGACCGTATTGGGCAGTTTGTGTATGGCGGTCAGCATCAGCATCTGTAACAAATGGCAGGTGATGGCATTTTGCATGTTAATGCCTTGTTTAAATCTTCCTTGCCCCCCATGTTAAAAACCATGAAATGTGAATCAATTTGAACACCTTTGGCCGGTCTCTGGACCATTCGGATGAGACAGGTTTTACTGTAAATTAATTATTTATCTTCTCAATGAAAATAGAACTTCAAAGAATTAATCTTGATAATGAAGCGAGAATTTTTGCATGCAAAAGTATATATACCAATAGGTGTTAGTCAAGTCCCAATTGATTAATTAAGACGTTTTAGCTCACCCTAAAATCAGGCTATGGTAACTACAAATGTAGCTGTTATATTTATGCCAAGTGCTAGTGTATTTGCATTCCGTCTACCTTAACTCATAGTTGGTCCTTGTGTTCATTTCCTACAAATTATGACAGGTTTATCAACGATTTGATCAAAAAATTGAAATATACCCGAATGAATCTTGATTGATTGATTTATTGATTGATTGATTGGTTATAATGGAGAAGTACTGTTCATCCAGCGCATTAAAATGGATCATTGCATGAACAACATACCTGAAATAACTTTAAACCAGTAATCTTAGAAATCATGGAAATATACCATTCTGATACTTACTTACTCTGTATGTTACTAAACTAAGTATATATATATGTATCTCATACTTGAGTGGGTTTGGGGTAGATATCACCTGGGAATATATATCGTATCTGAGGAGCGGGCAGGATATATTGTATATGTCCCGCTCCAGGCCAAATGCGGGCAGATATAATATATCCATCCCGCTCCCGGGAATTTTTCAAAAGTTTAAAAAAGTTTAAATATCAAAAGTTTTAATTTTTTAATTTTAAAATTTAATTTTTTTAAGTTTAAATGTTACAATTTCATTGTATTGAACAAAAAGAATATTACGAAAATGTTAAATATAAATATCTTGTTTTTTGAAAAAGGTGGAAAAGGTTATATCTACCCTAAACCCACTCAAGTATGAGATACACCAGTTATGCACGGTCGGTTTGGATACATGGAATATCCCTTGGGATATACAATACATCTTCCCTCGGTCCCTTCGGTCCCTCGGGAAGATATGTTGTATATCCCTCGGGATATTCCCTGTATCCAAAACCTCCCAGTACATAACC